TGCTCTCTTGGCAACTTGGGCAGTTGTGGCAATAGCCCGGGCTTAACTTTTGACTTCGTAGTAGCTGTGAATAATATTGAAAGTCTTGCAGGAAGAATCTTACCTATGAACCACAATGTGGGGGACCTGCATTTCAAACTGAAGTTATGACAATCACTTGTGTATTTCCTGTTGAGAAATACAGACCTTAAAATAGTTGGAAACTGGGGGTTACCAAAAAGGTGGAGCTGACATGAACAATTTTCGCTAACTCCATCCTTATTGCTGCAGTTCTTAGGCCTGTCTGCAAGAGTCTGTATAAGAGTGTGTCCCGTAAAACACCCTGCAGGACAGGGGGAAATTATGAAGTGATGTTATACTGCCTTCAGTTTTTCAACTTATCTCCAATTTTCCCACTTCTGTAAATAATTTCAAAATTTTAGGACATGGAATTGACGACAGTAATATATCTTACGTTCTCTGCAGTATGGCACAAATTTTCTCTCTCTGAAAATAATAAACTGGTCACATAGCTCTTCTGAAACTCACTTTATATAATGAGATTATGCTCAGCTTGTCAGCCAAAAGCAGAATTTAATGACTGTTTATATGACTGTCCTAAAACTTCTTAACTTTACAGCAGGGTTGTTCGGCACTGCTGTAATGAAATCAAACAAAACCAGGATCCCATAGAGCATTCCTTGTAATTAGAAGCATGGCAGGGAAATGTTTGTTTTGTTGCAGCACGATGTGGTACCTACCAAGACAGTTTAAACAGTTAAACTTTGATAACCTTCTACTTACAGTAAGTCTGTGTACATTCGCAATGCTTTTACTTTAAAAGTTGTTCTGTTTTTGTTTTCTTGCAGTTTTCACCATTCCATGCAACCTTATTGGCCTCTTGCTCCTATGATTTTACTGTGAGGTACAGTATTTTTTATTTGGATAAAAATGGAATGATGATCTGTGGCTTGCAATAGAAAACAGTTCTAGAGTGGACATACTGAAGTGCAGTTAATGTTGCTATCAGATGTTTTTCTCTGTTCATAAGCTATGTTGAAAGTGCATGGCTTCTTGACTTAGAAGCTGGCTCAGTCACTCTTCTGAATGGTATGTGCTCTGACAGATGCTTTCTGTAATCCTTTTCTCATCATTCTGCTGAACGTAGTTGCATCCAGCTGTGATAGTGTCTGATAAGAAAGTGATAACCTCTTAAATGAACGTAGGTGGGTGACTTCATATGTTTCTGTGACATACTTTTATTTAAGCTTTTTATAAACAAAGTTTTTGTCCTACCAGTATCTGAGGAAGCTTTAGTATTGTTCCACATTGTGTATGCTGAAGTTCTTTAAAGAGTACTTCTGCAAGTTCCACTGGCTGCCCAGTATATCTGACACTGCCGAGGATTTCATAGTACAGCTGATTTAAAGCTGATTAAAAGTCCTAAAGAAGTTTGACTTCATATTAGGACTTCTCTGAGATACACAGTATCATAAGTTAATACACTATGAAGTATATTCCTGAATATCTCATTCACATTCTTTGATCTACATTTTAATTTTATAACATGGAGTGGATACAGTAGGCAGTACATTTACAAATGGGAGAAGCCCTCTTGCCTCCACAAGTGACTGCAAAGTTATCCCACTTGCCCAAATCCCAATTAATGTCACCTCTGTTTGTGTCCTAAGTGGTTGTCCTGGTTTCAGGTGGGATAGAGTTAATTTTCTTCCTAGTAGCTGGTGTAGTGCTGTGGTTTGGATTTAGTATGACAATAATGCTGATAACACACTGACATTTTAGTTGTTGCTAAGTACTGCTTACACCAGTCAAGGACTTGTCAGCTTCCCATGCTCTGCCAGGTGCATGGGAAGCTGGGAGGGGGCCCAGCCAGGACAGCTGACCCAGACTGTCCAAAGGGCTGTTCTATACTGTATGATGTCATGCTCAGTATATAAGCTGTGGGCACTTGGCCGGGGGGCAGCAATCACTGCTCGGGAGCTGGCTGGGCATCAGTCAGTGGGTGGTGAGGAATTGCATTGTGCATAACTTGTTTTGTATATTCTTTTGTCATTATTATTTTTATTGTTTTCTCTTCCTTTACTGTCCTATTAAACTGTCCTTATCTCAGCCCATGGGTTTTACTTTGCTTTTTTCTGATTCTCTCTCCCATCCCACTGGGGGTGGCAGGGAGGGTGAGCAAGTGGCTGTGGTGCTTAGTTGCCGCCTGGGGTTAAACCATGACAGTGGTCTGACACCAGACACAGAAAGGTTCTGTTTCCTAAGGGAAACCTTCCTAACTCTCAGTGCCTGTACATGTTTCTAAATCACAAATCTATATAGTCTTGTGCCATAGCATCATACAAAGTTGCATCATGAAGTTAGTGCGTTAAGCATCTTATGAGTTTTGTGTGTTTTCAAAAATCTTACTGGAAGAGCAGTATAGCTGAAATATTCTGTTTTTATCCAAGTTCTTGGTCGTAGCTCCCACAATGCAGCTAACAGAAACATGTAGGGGTGCAAAGGGGCTCCAAAGCTCTGCTGTAGATGGTGTGGGACTGCTTGAGACTGTACAGTGACAATGGTGATGTTCCACAGGGAGACGGTTGCTGGAGCACTTGTGCTTGGCACATGTGAGTCATCAACCTCGATAGCACTAGAGAGGATGTTGCCTTCGAGGTCTTAGGCTGCAGGGAGTGCCTGGTGCCTCTTCCTGGGGCTGGGGGTGATGTTGGCCTCACCTGAGGGAAGTGTGTTCTCTTTGAGGTACTGAGCTGAAGGAGCTGCAGGAGGAGATGAGCAGACTGTGTACCATCAAGGACAGCGAATGCAAGATTGACAGAGTCTTCACAGATATCCTTCAGAGGCGAGAGCCCAAATCCCACAGTGCAAGGAAGGAGGGACAGTTAGAGACTATGCTTCAAAGAAGATAAGGATAAAGATTCCCATGACAAGGGAGGCTGGAAACTTGTGACTTCTGGCAACACAAGTTGAAGCTACAGAACAGATTTAGTGCTCTGGAAATGGGTGAGCAAGAATAAGCTCAGTCTGGGAAGGCGTCAAGAGTCAGCTGAGCCTGAATCAAGTGTCTGCGCCAAAAGAAAAATGTGCATCATCACTGGAGACTGCCTCCTGTTGCATTCTCTCTTGAAGTATCTGTGCCAACCCAGCTTGATGTCTTGGAAGATTATTTTGCCTCCCTTGGGTTGAGGTCCAGGAGGCTGTGGAGAGACCGCTAGGATTCTGTGCCTGGGAAGATCATGGAACAGATCCTCCTAGAAGATATGCTCAAGCACATGGAGGACAGGGAGGTGATTCAAGACAGCCAGCACAGATTCACCAAGGGCAAGTCCTGCCTGACCAACGTAGTGGCTTTCTATGAAGGAGTGACTGCATCAGTGCACAAGGGAAAAGCAATGGATGTCATCTACTTGGATTTCTGTAAAGCGTTTGACACAGTCCCCCACAACATCCTTCTCTCTAAATTGGAGAGATATGGGTTTGAGGGGTGGACTGTTCGATGGATGAGGAATTGGCTGGATGGTCGCATCCAGAGGGTCATGGTCAATCGGTCGATGTCCACATGGAGACCAGTGACAAGTGGGGTCCCTCA